TTATCTGGAGGTCAACGTACAGGCACATGGCGTAACCGAAATCACATACGCGTTCCTTGCGAACTCACTCGTCTGTGACTTGTGTTGTCTTTATTTGGTCTCTAATTGTTTCCCCTCTCTCCCCCCTTTCTCTCTCTCTCTCTCTCTCTCTCTCTCTCTCTCTCTCTCTCTCTCTTTCTCTCTTTCTCTCTCCCTCTTTCATATGAGTAAACAATTTCTTTCGTATATACGCTCTAACGATTATTTCAGCTTAATACGTATTTTATAGCTTAATACGAGAGAGAATGTTTTTCATTACATACACAAAATTAGACTCATCGTATTATAAATGTTATCAAATTTTAATGTATATTTGTAGCATCTTTTGACATCAATCGTTAAGCGATGATCATGCGAATCTTTATAATAATATCAAGGTAATTTCCAAATAATGAAACATTCGCTTCGAATTTCTTTGTACGATCGTCCTCGAAGCAGAGCAATAACTGGGTAACGGCGGTCGTCGGCTTTGCCAGTTCGAAGGTGGGTCCATTACCGTCTTCGGACAATGACGTTGGCTTCTTTGGATCAGGTTGGGTCTGTAGAGTACGTTCCTACCTGGGCCCGAAACGTTCGGGCTGCGGTAGAGACGTGCCGGGGAGGTAGCCGGGTGTCGCAAAGGCCAGATTAATGGTCCCAGAGAATTCTTGGTAGTCTATCCAAGACCGGACCTGACTCTCCTTCCTCCTCACACCCTCGCTACCGCTCTCTCTTTCTCTCTTTTTCTCTCTCCCTTTTTCTTTCCTTCTCATTCTCGCTTCGAACGGCAATGCCAGAAGGCCGTACGTGACGTGTATAGCCCAGAAACACCACCCACGTTAAGAAAATTTCATTTTCTAACGTGGTATCTTTTATACACGGACATATTTTTCAAAAAAGAATGAAAAAAGAAAGAAGGAAATTATTTCTTAACACATTTTTCTAAGATTTATCAATACGGTTAAACAAAACAGAATAGAGAATTAAAAGGATCGATGATTGTGAGGATTTATCGAAACGTTTTAATGTGCAACGTATGTAAGTACATACTTATATACATACGCTCTCATGCTCTTGAAGGAAGCGTTTGCGTGTTCGGCTTCAAGGAACACATTAATTATTCGTCATTGTTTTATGTAACCAGAAGACAGTTATCATGACGTAACGTGTACCGAGTCGCGTGTTACATTCCTCTGTACTACTACATACAGATCCGTGATGATTATTATTTCTTTGGATAATTTTATATTTATCATGTATTTCGTGAAACTATATATCAGATTTTCTACCTGCCATTTTTTAAACATACTTTCGACTATTGAGTAAAAAGCAAAAAGAAAAGAAAAAAAAAAATGTTTTATGGTAAGGTTTTTTTTTAAAAGGACCCTAAAAGTACTTAAAGTCGTATTTTGAAAGTTGATACAAATCTTTCTTGTAAATTATGATTTATTTTTCAATAATCTTTTACTATGAATAATACTAAAGTCATTAAGATGAAATAAGAAATTTTTAAACAATCCTTTGTCATTGTCTTTTTCGTAAATATTTTCGAATTAGTAATAATAAATCCTAAAACTATATAGACGGTTGATTTGTGGCCATATGATGAACTATGATAACCCTTGTCTTAAACTCTACCTGCGTACGGTAAGTACCAAGTTACCTGAATTTCTACCCTACTCGAAGAAGAGCCTTAGGCCGCGGTTAAAACCTCATTATTGTCTTTGTACTATTTCCAACTTTAGTTCTTTGTCTATCGCAAACTAATAGAATAACGTATTAATGTAGTACTCTTGTTAGAAAATAATATTTATTTACGATAATCGACAACATTTAATTCAATAAGAAAAATGACATGTTAATTAACGATTAATTTCTTGAATTTAGAAATCATCTCCGTAATTTCGAATTTAATTGTTGGGGAATGTAACATCGAAAGAATAAGAAAGAACGAAAGAAAAAGAAAGTTCAAAGAAATCCGAGACAGCGTTACACAATATTTAAAACTGTTACGAAAATCTATTAGTAAAAATTTATGACCGATCTGCTTGCCAGTGAGTCACGCTTTATTTCTTCTTCCTTTTTATCTCTGTTCGAGAGTGTCCGATCTTAGCGAACGTAACTTCTTCGAACGAAGCGATAAACACAGTGAAACGGCGATAACGAATCGATTAGGCTCTCATTCTAAATAATTTTGTCTAGTAAAATCCGTTTATATATTAAACTCGTCTCTCATTCTTTCTTAAGTCTTTAGAATATTTTTCCTGTTTCTTTTCGACGCTCGATAAAGAGGGAGGGGGGAGGGTAGAGAAAGAGAAAAAGATAGATTTTTCAAAAGTATGTATTTTTTTTCTCTTTTTTTTGTGGGGGGAGGGGAGGAACGGAGAGTATACGATCGGTGATCTAATATCATACTCTCGTGTTAGAAATAACTTAGTTTGTTTCCTAGCGTTTAAAAGTAAATTAATAATGAACGATATCGTGAATATAAACGTATAATTATCGCATTAAATGTCGCGGTTTGATTATTTGAAAACAGGTTGGTAATAAAGTATACTATAGGACATACGTTTCATCATCGAGTGTATTAAATTCATTATGAAAGGCCAAGTATCCGTGTTTCATCCTTTTATCGTAAAACACGAGCGAGACAATCGCTCACATTTGAACATGTACATATACATAGATATCTACGTACCTACACATACACACATACACACACACACACACACACACACACACGCGCGCGCGCGCGCGCGCGCGTACACCTGTGTGTATATATATGCACATATATCTATATCTGTGTGTATGTATATATATGTATGCATATATATATGTATATATGTACACGCACGTAACGGATAGCTTGCACGTACATAGATACGTATGTACGATTTACACGATTATGGATGTCGCTTTCGAGGCACTCCACTTTAGGTGGCCATTGGCGAAAGTCGGTAGCCACTTCTTCCGTGGCATGGCTACGAGCGTTGGAAGTAAGAGTAACAATTCGAGGAACGCTTCCTCTATCTCGTAAACTTTTATTTTTACGAGTAGACGAGGCCAAGGAAATATCAGGCAAAGATTGTAAATAATACAAAGATCGTCGTGAGGCGTCACTTTTTCTTTTTCTTCTTTTTTCTTTTTTTCTTTCCCTCTCTCTTTTCCTATTTCTTTTTTTTTTTTTTTTTTTTTTTTATCCACTTACATCGAATGCACCTCGTAAGTGGGTGAGTTCTTCCGTATGCACACATGCAGTTGGTATCGTTCGTGTATATAACCGAACTTTCCCTGTAACGTTCGAACGAACGTGGAAAAGAGATCGGGTGGGCATAGGGCGCGCCGTTGGTGGCTAGCTGGGTGGATAGGTGGGTAGATGGTTGGGTATTTATAGGGAGAAGGGGAAGGAGAGGAGAGAGGGAGATATACTCGTGGAACGTTTGTTACGTACAAAAATCAACGATTTTTTCTCATGATCGTTTCTCGTAACAGTCGATATTCTCCGTACTAACAAACTTTTCAACGTAGATTGGAACAGGCTTTTTCCTCCCTCTCCCTCTTGTATCATGAAGATCAAAAAAAGAAGGAAAAAAGAGGAAAGAAATATTAGGATTTTAAAGATTTATTTTTTCGTTGGTTCCTGAAAGTGTCGATGCTCTATCAGATGCATGTCTCTAGGCGCCAAGAAGGGTCGTTGTTCTTTCGTCAGTCGTACAAATGCGTTCAACTTGACCCCGATTACGTCGAATCGGATTTCCCAAGTCCCGTTGATCCTCGGTGGATACCCTCGAATCAATCCTCAACGACATCCCGACACGACAAGCGATTCGAATCGTTTGGAAAGTGAAACTTTGTCTCCGCCTGGCGACTTTGACGAAGATATGTACGTCTCCCCAGTCTCTTTGATCGAGACGATTTATCGAACAGTAATCGAAAACCTACTGATTTATTTCTTTTTCTTTCTTTTTTTTTATCTATTCGCACGTTTTATTTCGAATACGTACATTTTCTTTAATTCGACACTATATTTCGGTCGTGTAATAATAAAGCGTTTTTATGTTTGCACGTTGAGAGAACGAAATTATAAAGGATGTTAAGTAGATACATTAATCACTTGAAATACGATATTTAATGTAAAGTAATTGTAAAATTGAACAATATCTGAAGAAAAATTGATAACAAATTAATGATAATTATTCGGTAAGAGATATTCGATAAGAGAAAATAATATATACTGCGAAGGATTAATAACGATACTACTTATAACTCATGATAATAATTATGTAATAATAATACATAATAATAATAATAATAACAATATGTAATAATAATAACAATAATAATAACAATAATAATAATAACAATATAATAATAATGGCGACTGCTAACAGCACGGATTCAAATATAGTGATAACTGCAGTAATAGGGATGGCGTGTGACGAACGAGCGAAACGCAACGTTGCCGTGAAAAATGTAAAAGGTCGTATTTCAGCAATTAGAAAAAAATTTCCACGCGAAAAAATATGATCTATCTTATCAGAAAAATTCTAGGAGAAAAAAGAAAAAGACAAAAAGAACAAAAAAAGATAGAAAAAAAATTTGGGAATACGAATGGGAAGAATTCCTCGTATTCGGCGTATCATCTGTAAAACGATAGAAGGAGGGAGAGGTGAGGAGGTGGTGGTGTGGATCTGGAGAAAGAGATAGGTAGTAAAGAGGAGATGGGACTAGGAGGGAGGAGTAGAGTAACGAGTACTTTTGAAAGGGGGGAAGATTTTCGGAAAGGGTAGCTAGAACGCGTAGGTTAGGGCAGTTGCGTGGATGGCGGGCGTCGCGGTCGCTCACGTGGCTCCCCACCGTGTTCCACAGCATCGGCGTTCTCTCCTTCGTGTTCTCTCCCCTCCATCATTGGTAACGCGTTGCTTCCCCTACCACACGCTCTGCTCCCCACCTAGGGTGACACTAGCGCCGCCACGCCTGCCGCTTCGCAGTAACGCGACCGCTTTCGTCGAGAGTGCGTTGTTTTTTCGTTCGCTATTGTTGTCCGTGTTATTCTATTCCTCAAGTGCGCTTTCACGATTTTCATTAGCAGACCGCCCCGGCATCGATAAAGATTGGTTGGTCGCGCGTTCATGAGCGATATATTCCGAGAAAGGCGGATGTGCCACATAATATTTTAGAGTGATCGAACGACGATCCCATCTTTCTCTCTCTCTCTCTCTCTCTCTCTTTCTCTCTTCCCCCCTCCTTCCCCAGAATTTATCTTCCTTTTCTTCGTTACTTTATTTTTCCTTTCTTTTTTTTTTTTGTTTCTTCCTTTCTATCTTTTCCCTCTCGACGGGGGAAAAATTTTTGGTGCGCGTGTTTTTTGTATTCGTCGAGGGATACGGGGTTATAATATATATAAGTGTTGCTGATAGAGATAGAAAGGAAGTATGCAAGACCGTATCAACGAAAGGTTGGAATATCGACGCTCCAGCGTGAGATTTGGTTGGTTAGTACGTGTCCGTATGAGATGAGGAAGATCGGCCATCGTTGCTAGAAGTGAGTGAAGAGAGAAAGAGAGAAAGAGAGAGAGTGAGAGAGAGAGTGAGAGAGAGAGAGAAGTAGAAAGAGAGTGAGTGAGTGAGATAGACTGATGGTATTGTAAGAAAGAGGGAGAGAGAGAAGCGAGAAAGAGTACTATTGGAACAATCGAAAAAAGAACAGGAGTGAGAGAGAGAGAGAGAGAGAGAGAGAGAGAGAGAGAGAAAGAAAGAAAGAGAGAGAGAAAGAGAGAGAAAGAGAGGAAAGAATGGGTGGGAGAGGAAGAGTGCAGACTAGCCGCGTTAGTACGCGTCGCGACGCTGTCGGCGCGATGGCCACGTGCCTCAAAGGATATGCCGTTGTCGACGCCGCCGTCGCCGCAGCAACATCGGCATCAGTAACAGCAACTAATAGCGTCGTTCTACGACATTGACAGAAAAAGAGTGCGTTCGGTACTATTGAGAGTTTACGAGTTACAGTGTTTTTCTTGTTTTTAGTAAAGTGATCGGTGCTCTTTAATAAAAGAGAGAGAAAGAGAAAAAAGAGAGAGAGAGAGAGAGATAAAAGAGAAGAAGAAAAGTCGTGCGTGAGAGCGCGTAATTTTTTTCGAATTAAGACGGAAGTTTCTTATCAGTGTGAGATTCAGTGCTTTAGGTTTTGGTGGATCGTTGTTTTCATGAGGAAAAAAGTAAAACTTTGATAAGGATAAAGAGGTGGTGCGTTGTAACAGTGGCTCGTCGATACTCTTTTACTTTCTTCTGCTTCAGCTATGACGAAGATCTTAGAAACATTCGTATAGTCGTCCGAGGGAAAAGATAATCTTTTTATCTTGGCACGTGGTGGAGTAATAAAACGTAAAAGTAGTTTTGCGCGGGACAAGAAAAACCTCGTTGGTAGAATACAGGAGTGTGGGAGCGAACGAAAGAGTGGTTCGAGAAATAGAGAGAGAGAGAGAGAGAGAGAGAGTGAGAGAGAGAAAGAAATAGGAAGTGGCAGGGAGGGGCGGTGGAAGAAGAGGGGTGAGAGTAGGTAGGAAGGATCGTAGAGGCAGAGGAAAGCAGTGGAGTGGTGAAAATCTCGACGCGAGTTATACGGGGCGGGTGAGAAGGGCCAGGTCGTGGAGTGGGGAGTGATGCCGGTGAGGGTGGCGCAGCGCCCCCCAGGTGGAATATCACTCCACGCCGGCGTGCCGGTAGCGGCCAGCAGCGTAACCGCCTCCGGTCCGTCGGGCCGGTGCCTCGGGGGCCCGGCTGCGTCCCCCGCCGGGTCGCCACCGCTGCCGCCGTCACTGCAATCTCTCGGCGGCGGCATAAGCGGCAGCAACAACAACAACAACAATAATAACAATAACGTTAATAATAGCAACATCAACGGAAACAATCAGTTGATCAACAGCAACGGCGGGAACGGGAGCATTATCGGTGGCAACTCCTTAAACGGCCTCGGCAATTTGACCAACAACAACGGGAACGGTCTAAGCAACAGCAACATCAATACGACGGCGTCGAGCATCGGTGCCGCCGCCGCCACGACGAACCCGCTCCAGGCAATGGCATCGGCCGCGGCCTCGCTTACGCAGTTAAACAACATGGCGAACGGGCCGCTGCCGCCGCTCGCAGGGACCGGGCCCCCGAATTTACCGGCTCCGCAGCCTGCGACAACGCCGACGCATGCCGGTGGTCCGCCGACGCCACACGGTGGCGTCGGGACGGGGCCCCATTTGAACGGGGCCTCACCAAGTCCTCATCCTATGCCACCCCATGGCATGATGAGCGGATCACCGCACGCGCCCCATCCTCATATGCCGGCCGGAGGACCTTCGCCTCATCCTCATCATCCCGCTCCTCATATGGTCGGCTCGCCTCATCATCCAGGCCCACATCCGATGCCACCAAATGCTGCTGGAATGATGGCTCCAACTGGTATGCAACCTCAAAGTGCTCCTGGAATGTGCGGCCCTGGACCAGCCGGTCCAATGGGACCACATGGACATCCTCAAGCACCGGGACAACCTCACATGCACAACGATCCCTTTTATTGTTCACCTTTTGGCTCTCATTACTTCAGGTAATTTCACTTCGATAGTAATCCTGATTAAACACGAATCGATCCGAATGATATTCTTCCTTTACATTATTTTCTTGTACTCGAAAAGACGAAAGGCGTCTCTGACCAGTGTAATTAGGGAAGTTGCGAGGCCAAAGAAAACGGTGCCTTCGTTACGTGACGCTATATTGTCACCTGAGATATACCTCCTAGGAAAAAGAGCACAGGTGTACGTGTCACGTGGGACGATCGATCCGTTAGCTTCTACGCGCTATGTTTAATGTGTATTTGTTGTGCTTTATGAACATCATGTGGGCGTCCATCCGATGCTTTGGATATTTGAAATTTTATAGAAAACTATGTACGCGTGCGTGCATTCGTGCGTGCGTGCGTGCGTCCGTCCGTTCGTCGTACGTTCGTTCATTCGTGCGTTCATACGTGCTTTCGTACGTGAAAATCAAAACCACAGACGAGTTTTATGATTTCCCGTAATTCTCTAGCCAGTTACTTCCGTATCGCGATAAGTGAATGGCTCGTGTAATGTGTATCGATTGCTTCGGTGGTAGTTTCTTTCATATCCGCCCGTTAGACGAATACTGCGACAATCACTTGATCAAAGAAGAACGAGATGTCGATGGAAACGATTTCTAATTGCTCATTCGCTAACTTTTAGTCTAAGATGTTCGATCGTAATTGTTAGAATAGGGAGGGAAGTTCTTTCTATCTATACGGATGATTTAAATGCGTCGTACGTTCACCCGTACCATAAAACACACCGCTGTATAAAGATTACCTTCCGTGACGTTTCACGCTTCGAATTTATTTTTGACGATACGATTTAATACCCATCGCGTGTCCTCCGATCGTTAAAAAAGTTTCAACTTTGCCCCTTCAGCTTGGGACTCGGATAAAACACGAATAAAAAGGAAAACAAACAAATAAAAAAATGTTCGGATTCTCTTGGAGGGATCCATCTCGATGTTGCCAGGCTTAGAGCATTAATTATCGTTTACTGTTCAGAACGTTATCAACGGATTCAACGAACAGTGGATTTCTACTTACAATTAGTCGTACATTTTCAAAAGGATATTGTTTTACGGTTCGATACTTCGTTCCATGCCAATCGTCGCTTACTAGTAGATACGTTCTCCCGGGCGTAGTAACAGTATAACCGAAGAATCCGTTATCGTACCTCGGTCAGAATCTTCCTCTGGCGACCGTTGTGCGTTCTCGAACGTGCCACGCGACATGGTTGCAGCTATATTCATGAAGGACGCGCGCGTTCGTTCGAAATGTGCCTGTTAACTTCTGATCTTCGAGCGTACCGTTATTCAACGGCACGAACCCGAAAGATGTCCTTTTCTTCCGTGATACTATGACGACTTATGTAGGGAGGATGGTGATGGAGGTGACGACGGGAGAAGAAATTAGACAGCGAGAGAAAAAAGAGTAGACAAAAGTCGTTTTTTTCCTTCTTCATTTATTTATTTCTTTGTTTTCTTTTATTCATTTTGTGTTATTTCTTTTTCCTTTTTCCTCCGGTGACTTCTTCGAAGCTTGAGATTAAATCACGTAGAACTATCACTTGATTGTATATACCGGTTGGTTAATGGTTGCGTTCGGATTAGAAAGGTAGAAAATGATTTTAACGAAAAGACAGTATTACAAAATATTCGACGAAGAAGGAGGTGAAAGGAGGTGTAAAGTTAGATCGTGAGTCGGTGAAATTATTGGTCGACTGACAAGGACACGTGCTGCTGCTATACTAGAGAACATGTCCTCGCGAGTCAGGTGCATTGAAAGCCGTTGTCGTCGACGTCGTCGTCGTCGTCGTTGTCGTCGTCGTTGTCGTCGTCGTCGTCGTCGTCGTCGTCGTCGTCGTCATCGTCGTCGTCGTCGTCCTCGTCGTCGTCGTAGTTGTCATCGTCATCGTCGTCGTATCTTAACTTCAGGTGCTCCGCAGGTGGGAGGTATCCCTCGTGCAGGTGTTCGCGTACATATTCGTTCGCGAAACGCGACTTCCTCCTTCTACATATCTTGTTGGCTTTCTCGAGGTACATAACCAAAGAGACGACGTCTTATAATTAGACGTTGCCTGTTTCCAACGATGGAAGGAAGGAAGGAAGGAAGGATAACGGATCGAAATCAATAAAGCATGGTTATATCTCAAACGCGTTTGTTGGAAATAGTGGTAAGAGCATTTGCTTGTAACTTTTCGAAAGATCGTCTTTGGAACGAAAGATAAACTTATGATATGGGGGTCGAAAGTAGAACTTTTGCTGATTCATAGGAGTTTCGTGCTTCTTCTTTTTTCTGTTTATATATATATATATATATATATATATATATATATATATAATATGGATAGGACCTGCTGGCATAGGTGTACACGATTATCCAGGTAGCCTTTGGCCTTCCTCGTATCCGGTCTGGACGTCTCTATCGGACTGACATCATCTCTCCAGTCGCTGGCCCTGTCTGATAATCGGACAAGCTCATTATCATAAGCGTTCCACCCTGGTACATTCGCACGAATCACCGAGCTACTTTGCTCGAGATATCGCGAGGAGATAACGGTTTTCTTCATTTTTTCCCTCTTTCTCTTTCTCTCTCTCTCTCTCTCTCCCTCTCCCTCTCTCTTATCGTTCTTTTTTTCCTTTCTTTCTTTCTTTCTTTCTTCTTCTTTTAAGACTTCTCCACACCGTTCAAACACAATGGATATATGCCTTCGCTTCCTCGTTCGCTGTCTCGCTCACGAATTTTAAGGTCTGATTCCCGCGATGATGATGATGATAATGGAGAAAAAATATGCCTGGTTCATCGATCGGTAGAAGATTTTTGTTCTCTTCATTAACCGCAAAATATTTCTTAAATTTTTAACGATCGTTTCTATTATCTTTGAGCACTCGACTCGATGGATTTTCCGGGATTTATCATCTTTCAGTCAAGGCCGACGCTTCTACGTCTTATCGATAATACTAGCGGTTAAATATCTAAAGATTCCGACTGGAAACAGACACGAAACGGGATAGTCGAGAAACTCTCGAAAGCACGATCGGAAGTAACGAATACGTATGGTTCTTATCTTATCGCGGCCTCCGGCTAGGATAAGGAAAACCTTGATCGGCTTTCAACAATTCGAATTGGACTGACACGAGACTGCGACGACTCAAAATTTCGCCAATTTTTTTTCTGTCCGCCTGTTTCTTTCTTTGTTTTATTTTGTTTACTTTTCTTTTTTGCCTTCAAATTTTTGTTGTTTTCTTTTGCTTTCTTTTGCTTTCTTTTGCTTTCTTTCTATTTCTTCGACATGTGGTAAGTTTCACGAAGTTTTTGTAGAAGAAGAAGAAGAATGATCGATCCGATCGGATTTGATCGATCTCAATGAAAGATATCAAAGATGAAATGGAATAAATATTGTTATTGTTTAAGCTTGACGATCGATAAAACGAGAGAAATCCGATTATAAATATGTAATAATATCGACCCATGACCCACGGTATGATTTATCGGTTTGCTAATCGGTTAGCACGTGGTGCTTGTCCGGTCTTCACTCGCTTTGCTCGAGGGAAAAAGAGAGAGAGATAGAGACAGAGACAGAGAGAGAGACAGAGAGAGAGACAGAGAGAGAGAGAGAGAGAGAGAGAGAGACAGAGAGAGAGAGAGAGAGAGAGAGAGAGAGAGAGAGAGAGAAAGAGAGAGAGAGAAAGCATTCGCCTCGGTATCTTTGTAATAGTTCTCATATAATTTGTTTCTATTAACCGGGATATAAGTGGACCACGTGCTGGTAACTAGCTACGAAACGAGTCGTTGGTATCCGCTTTCGATGTGGTTTCCTAGGAACTAGGACGTTCTCTCTCTTTCTCTCTCTTTCTCTTTCTCTCTCCCCTCTCTCTCTCTCTCTCTCTTTCTTTATCCATCTATCTATCTATCTCTATCCCTCTTTCATACACACCGTACACAAATACATGCAGAATACATACACATACGTATGTACGCATGCATTCACGCGCGCACATACACACACGTATAACCTAGCTTCTTATTTATGAGTTTTACACGCACCGTCGTTCCAGTTTTTGCACGCACGTGCGAGCCTTCGATGAGGAGTCGACATACGAGTAAGACAAATCGCTTCCCGGCCACGCGATACTTCACGATAAACGTTCTAATCCGAATCAATCAGTCGCATAATAACGTTCTCGTTCTAATCCGAATCATTTGGTGGAAGAGCTTTTGCACGGAGAAAGAGAAGAAGGAAAAAGAAAAAAAGACAAGACAAGAAAATGAAGATCACTAATAGGAACTCAAAGATTGTTTTAATCTTTTTACAAGTTAGAAATCTTAAAATCTCTAAGATCGTTTTCCTAAGGATTTTGAATAGTCGATGATGAATTGAGAAGACAGTGAACGAAGGTTAGATACGATTTCTGATGTGAGATTATCTACTAGTACGCAAAGTAAATACATACTTACTAAATAGATGTCCAAGTCGTCCGGCATAAAAGCCGTGCCCAGGGACCGTATCAGGCCGTATCGCGTACCTCTACGGGCTTCCAGTTTCGCGCGAAACTTTAGACGCGGACAAGCAGGTTCAAGGCACAAGAACACATAACGTGTCTTCCATCGTTCGAAGTACCGGAATATGAAAGAATGGGACGGGCAGGCTTGGATGTAGGCGTGGGCATCGGAGGCGGGAGGACGAAAGTAATATTTTTTATGTCCGATTACATAAATATTTATATTTTTGAATGGATTCAATTGTGGATAATTTTTTGAAATTAATCGTGTGCAGTATTGGAAAAAATACAACGAAAAAAAAATAGAAATTCGTCTTCTTATTAATCACAATTATATATATATATATATATATATATATATATATATATATATATATATAACGTGCTAATTAAAAAAAATTTTTTTTTCTTTCTATATTTATTTATATATAATTTTTTCTTCTTTTCTTTATAACGAAAGAGGAAAAAAAATTGCGTGCACATAGAAATGTACGCACACAG